GATTTGAAAGGTGGTTCATATACAGTGGTCCCTCGTTTTTCGTAATTAATCCGTTCCTGGAGCCGTTACAGTAAACGAAATTTACGATTTACAAATCAATTTTCCCCATAAGAAATAACGTAAATACAATTAATCCATTCCTGACACCCAGAAGTATTAAAATAAAAAAAAATTTGCATGAAATATACATGTAGTACATAAACAATACAATGGGAAATGATGAATGAAACATTAACAGCATAACACTTACCTTTATTGGAGATTCTTCTTAGTGTATGGGAGACTGGAGGAGGAGAGAGAGTGGATTGTTTATAGTTTGGAAGGGGAGTCCCCTTCCATCAACACCTCAGGTACCAATTGCTTTTCTGGGGTTGCTTGTCTTCTCTGTTTCTTAATGCCACTAGGACCACCTTGAGAGTCAGTGAGTCCTGTCTCGCAAAATGACTGTGGAGAGAGCTCTGTTCCTGGCGTCTCTTTAACACTTCCCTAAAATGGCCCAAGACTTTGTCACTGTACATGTTGCCAATATGGCTTGCAACAACCTTGTTAGGGTGATGTTTCTCCATAAAGCTTTCCATCTTACCCCACATAGTAAAAATCTCTTTAATTTCTGAAGAAGGCACCTTCTTCCATCTCTCTTCCTCCTCCTCTTCAGCAAGATTCTGAGCTGCGATGTGTTGCTCTTCCTGCTGAAGCTCTTGCAGCTCCTCAGTGGTGAGCTCTTCGTTGTGGTCTTCCACCAATTCTTCCACATCCTCCAAACTCACATCCAACCCCATGGAACTCCCCAGTGCCACAATTGATTTTACAACAGACATAGGCTCATCAGGGTCAGTCCCAAACCCTTCAAAATCCCTCTTGTCAACACAATCTGGCCACAATTTTCTCCAGGCAGAGTTCAAAGTCCTGGTAGTCACTCCCCTCCCAAGCCATACCTATAAGGGTTATGCAATGGAGGATACTGAAGTGTTCTCTCCAAAATTCCCTTAGGGTCAAGTGAGTGTCTGTGGTCACAGTCAAGCACCTGTGAAACATTGCTTTTGTGTAGAGTTTTTTAAAGTTTGCAATGACCTGCTGGTCCATGGGCTGGAGGAGAGGAGTGGTACTCGGGGGCAAGAACTTTACTGTGATAAGAACATAAGAATGGAGGAACACTGCAGAAGGCCTACTGGCCCATACAAGGCAGGTCCTTATCTAAACGACCTCTACCCAAAGCTACCCAAGAATTAACTCCCGTATTGGTGGAATGATGATGTAAAGAGAGTAGTAAGGGAGAAAAAGTTAGCATATGAGAAGTTTTTACAAAGTAGAAGTGATGCAAGGAGGGAAGAGTATATGGAGAAAAAGAGAGAGGTTAAGAGAGTGGTGAAGCAATGTAAAAAGAGAGCAAATGAGAGAGTGGGTGAGATGTTATCAACAAATTTTGTTGAAAATAAGAAAAAGTTTTGGAGTGAGATTAACAAGTTAAGAAAGCCTAGAGAACAAATGGATTTGTCAGTTAAAAATAGGAGAGGAGAGTTATTAAATGGAGAGTTAGAGGTATTGGGAAGATGGAGGGAATATTTTGAGGAATTGTTAAATGTTGATGAAGATAGGGAAGCTGTGATTTCGTGTATAGGGCAAGGAGGAATAACATCTTGTAGGAGTGAGGAAGAGCCAGTTGTGAGTGTGGGGAAGTTCGTGAGGCAGTAGGTAAAATGAAAGGGGTAAGGCAGCCGGGATTGATGGGTTAAAGATAGAAATGTTAAAAGCAGGTGGGGATATAGTTTGGAGTGGTTGGTGCAATTATTTAATAAATGTATGGAAGAGGGTAAGGTACCTAGGGATTGGCAGAGAGCATGCATAGTTCCTTTGTATAAAGGCAAAGGGGATAAAAGAGAGTGCAAAAATTAAGGGGGATAAGTCTGTTGAGTGTACCTGGTAAAGTGTATGGTAGAGTTATAATTGAAAGAATTAAGAGTAAGACGGAGAATAGGATAGCAGATGAACAAGGAGGCTTTAGGAAAGGTAGGGGGTGTGTGGACCAGTGTTTACAGTGAAACATATAAGTGAACAGTATTTAGATAAGGCTAAAGAGGTCTTTGTGGCATTTATGGATTTGGAAAAGGCGTATGACAGGGTGGATAGGGGGCCAATGTGGCAGATGTTGCAAGTGTATGGTGTAGGAGGTAGGTTACTGAAAGCAGTGAAGAGTTTTTACGAGGACAGTGAGGCTCAAGTTAGAGTATGTAGGAAAGAGGGAAATTTTTTCCCATAAAAGTAGGCCTTAGACAAGGATGTGTGATGTCACCGTGGTTGTTTAATATATTTATAGATGGGGTTGTAAGAGAAGTAAATGCGAGGGTCTTGGCAAGAGGCGTGGAGTTAAAAGATAAAGAATCACACACAAAGTGGGAGTTGTCACAGCTGCTCTTTGCTGATGACACTGTGCTCTTGGGTGATTCTGAAGAGAAGCTGCAGAGATTGGTGGATGAATTTGGTAGGGTGTGCAAAAGAAGAAAATTAAAGGTGAATACAGGAAAGAGTAAGGTTATGAGGATAACAAAAAGATTAGGTGATGAAAGATTGAATATCAGATTGGAGGGAGAGAGTATGGAGGAGGTGAACGTATTCAGATATTTGGGAGTGGACGTGTCAGCGGATGGGTCTATGAAAGATGAGGTGAATCATAGAATTGATGAGGGAAAAAGAGTGAGTGGTGCACTTAGGAGTCTGTGGAGACAAAAGAACTTTGTCCTTGGAGGCAAAGAGGGGAATGTATGAGAGTATAGTTTTTACCAACGCTCTTATATGGGTGTGAAGCGTGGGTGATGAATGTTGCAGCGAGGAGAAAGGCTGGAGGCAGTGGAGATGTCATGTCTGAGGGCAATGTGTGGTGTGAATATAATGCAGAGAATTCGTAGTTTGGAAGTTAGGAGGAGGTGCGGGATTACCAAAACTGTTGTCCAGAGGGCTGAGGAAGGGTTGTTGAGGTGGTTCGGACATGTAGAGAGAATGGAGCGAAACAGAATGACTTCAAGAGTGTATCAGTCTGTAGTGGAAGGAAGGCGGGGTAGGGGTCGGCCTAGGAAGGGTTGGAGGAGGGGGTAAAGGAGGTTTTGTGTGCGAGGGGCTTGGACTTCCAGCAGGCATGCGTGAGCGTGTTTGATAGGAGTGAATGGAGACAAATGGTTTTTAATACTTGACGTGCTGTTGGAGTGTGAGCAAAGTAACATTTATGAAGGGATTCAGGGAAACCGGCAGGCCGGACTTGAGTCCTGGAGATGGGAAGTACAGTGCCTGCACTCTGAAGGAGGGGTGTTAATGTTGCAGTTTAAAAACTGTAGTGTAAAGCACCCTTCTGGCAAGACAGTGATGGAGTGAATGATGGTGAAAGTTTTTCTTTTTCGGGCCACCCTGCCTTGGTGGGAATCGGCCAGTGTGATAATAAAAAAAATCCAGTGACACTAATCAAACCCAGCCCCTCCCACTCATATATTTGTCCAGTCTCTTCTTAAAGCTACCCAAGGTCCTAGCCTCTATCACCCCACTGGAAAGATTGTTCCACGCATCCACAACTCTGTTAGAAAACCAGTACTTACCTATCTCCTTTCTAAATCTAAATTTATCCAACTTAAATCCATTATTTCTGGTTCTTACCCAAACTCCTCAAAAATTAGGTCATCCAAGTTTGGAGGATGAGCAGGTGCATTGTCCATTACTAGCAGGCACTTGAGATCCAATTTCTTTTCCAGGAGATACTCCTTCACACTAGGGCCAAACACTTCATTGAACCACTCGACGAAAATTTCCCTCGTGACCCATGCCTTACTATTAGATTTCCAAAACACACACAATTTACTCTTCATAACATTGTTTTTCCTGAACACTCTGGGATTTTCTGAATGGTACACTAGTAATGGCTTCACTCTGAAATCCCCACTAGCATTAGCACAGAACATTAGTGTCAGCCTGTCTTTCATAGGCTTGTGTCCTGGCATTGCCTTTTCCTCTTGTGTAATGAAGGTCCTCTTCGGCATTTTTTTCCAAAAGAGGCCTGTTTCGTCACAATTGAACACTTGTTCAGGTTTCAATCCTTCAGCCTTTATGTACTCCTGGAATTCATGCACATATTTTTCAGCCGCCTTGTGGTCCGAACTGGCAGCCTCACAATGCCTTACCATACTGTGTATACCAGTACGGTTCTTAAATCTCTCAAACCAGCCTTTGCTGGCCTTAAATTCACTCACATCACCACTGTTTGCAGGCAATTTCTTTATCAAATCTTCATGCAACTGCTTAGCCTTTTCACAAATAATTGAAGTCATAAGAGTAACTCCTGCTAATTGTTTCTCATTTATCCACACCAATAATAACTTCTCAACCTCTTCCAGTACTGGTGATCTCATTTTTGTCAGCATAGTTACTCCCTTTGCAACAACAGCATCCTTGATTTCCTTTTTCTTGGCCACTATGGAACATAAGGTTGTGTAGGGTTTCTTATACATCCTGGACAGTTCGGCCACACTTGTACCACTTTCATATTGTTCAATGATGGTTTTCTTAAATTCAGTCGTATTTCTCACCTTCTTTACCACAGGCTTGGCACTAGGAGTTTTCTTTGGAGCCATGGTAGCTTATTTAGGACTTGCAAGCACAAAAATAAATGGAATATTATGAAATATTTCGCTGGAGCATGTGAGGGGACCTTCGCTCACTGGTAAAAATGCCAGACTGGCTGCCGCCACGGCTCACGCCGTGGGTACGCGTCCCGGACAAACTACGACTCGCGAGTCAACCTATGAAAAGCAAGTCCATATTTATACGAAAATACCCCTATGATTGGCGAATTTTACGATTGCTGAGAACTACGAAAAGCGAGGGACCACTGTATATATATTTAAAATATTATTTTAAAGTATCAGTGGACATATAAATAACAGTTGAGCAATACATTTTCTGCTTTTCTTTGTAAGTTATTTTAATAGTTTTTCTTTTGTGATATTTTTCTTGCCTTTTAGGACGAAGCAACAGGCGGCTGCTGTGTTGGGTCACACGTCACAGAGAATATTTCTGAGGATGCTGATGGTAGGGAGAGATCTAGAACCAGTGCTGAAAGCATCACTGACCTTATCAGCCTATCAGCAGGCCAAGTAGAAGACTCTGTCGATCATCTTGGGGGTGCTGTGATTACCATCGCTGATGCTTCACAACCTCCCTCCCCTATTGGTAATGACAGTTCTTGCTGGTTTAGTAACTTACATATTCTTATTTATGATTATGAAAAAGAAAAATTGTGATGCTCTTTTTAATGTTACTCTAAATTATACCTTGAGCATTAAAATGCTGTATATCTGGAGTTTACCTGGAGAGAGTTCCGGGGGTCAACGCCCCCGCGGCCCGGTCTGTGACCAGGCCTCCTGGTGGATCAGAGCCTGATCAACCAGGCTGTTACTGCTGGCTGTGACTTTGTTTTACTGATTCCAAGATCAAAATAAATAATAATGAAGGATAATAAGATTTAAGAATATAGTGGTTTGACAGCTTTCCAAGATGTCACTGTAAACAGTTTGCAATTTCAATAGGGGCATAGCTTGAACTGTACTGATTTTTTTGTTTAACACATCGGCCTTCTCCCACTGAGGCAGGGTGACCAAAAAAAGAAAAACACTTTTACCATCATTCACACATCATCACTGTCTTTGCAGAGCCACTCAGATACGATAGTTTAGATGTCACTCCAATCAGCCAGTATCCCAAACCCCCTCCTTTAAAGTGCAGGCATTGCACTTCTCACCTCTAGGACTCGAGTCTGGCTAACTGGTTTACCTGAATCCCTTCACAAAGTATTACCCTTCTCACACTCCAACAGCTCGTCAGGTCCTAAAAAACCACATGTCTCCATTCACTCCTATCTAACATGCTCACACATGCCTCCTTCATGTGTACTAAATCTTCTTCTTTCAACAAACCGGCCATATTACACTGAGGCGGGGCGGCCCAAAAAGAAAAACAAAAGTTTCTCTTTTAAAGATTAGTAACTGGTACAGAAGGGGTTACTAGTCCCTTGCTCCCGAATTGTTCCTTATTATTATGATCATAGCAGACCGATCTCATCTCTCTCCACCACAATCACCATTTGTAGCCACATGCTTTTCCCATTAGTCCACTACACAGATGTGTATTTCTCAATATATATACTGTACATCAATAATTGTAAATCTTTTCATATACAGGAGGGTCCCGCTTATACAGCAGGTTAGGTTCTGGGCTATTGCCGTAAAGTGAAAATTGTTGTAAAGTGAAACATAGCCTTTTTTTATTTTCAAATACATATAAAAACCTGATAACATGTTTACACTATCATATACAGTATTAAGTGAACAATAGAGCTAGGCCCTAAAAATGCGTCTTACCTTAAAACATTTTCATCCTTAGCTTATAGTGAATGGTGAATATATTTATTGTAGGAGGTCTGAATAAATGAAGAATGGGTACAGTTGAAAACTGCTGTATTAGCAAAATGTCGTAAAGTGAGGTACTGTAAAGTGGGGCCCTCCTGTATACACAACTTTATTCTTTAGATTGCAAAGTCTTGAAGCTGCTTTGTCACACCTTGTATGCATATGAAAAGAATGGAGGGTACCCATAGTGAACACCCCTTAAAGGAAAAATATAATTAATAAAACAGGAAAGATTATATACAAATACACCTACCATCCGACTTACGACCGAGTTCGGTTCCGAGAAACCGGTCGTAAGTTGAAATGGTCTTAAGTCGAACTTTATTACTGAATATCAACAAAACATTTTTGTAATGACTATTTTATTGTTTTATTTTGGTATTTCATGTTTTACTTTACTTTTTATGTTGTTAGTACTGTATTTTATACTGTAAGGTTTAGGATAAACACTGTGTACAACACAAATAGTTGTTTATTTCCCAGAAATTTGGCATAAAAAACACGGTCGTAAGTCAAGTGGTCGTAAGTCGAGCAGGTCGTAAGTCGGATGGTAGGTGTACAAGGATTATTAGCACTGTATATGATTAAAAGCTTCATTTCCTCTTTGATTTGCCTATCTCTGTTACCCTCCCACTTTTTCAGCTTTCCTACTGGTAATTGTCACTGAATGTAAATTTTTTTATAGCATCAATGAAAATTTTGTGACACAGTATATTTCAAATGCCTCTGCATTTGGTTCTTTTCAGAGTCAAGTACCTTAGAAAACATTGAGATTAGAGTACTTACACATGAAGAAACAGCACATACGACACACACCAGTGAATTAAATGATGGCACAAAATGCTGTAAATCCAAGGAAACAGAGTGCATTGCAAGAGTTAATCCAGTAGTCTCTGTAGCTAATAATAAGACATCACTATCTGGTTCCTGTGGTAATGAAATAAGCAATAAAATTATGTACATGTGTAAAGGCATGAAACCGAAGAATAACAGAGTTGAAACATTTGTATGAATAGAAAAGAAGAGCATTGACAACCGAAAAGTAAAAAACAGAAGATTTGGTATACAATTTTGTTATAAGGAAAATATAGAAGAACAAAAAAGGATTTTGTTACAATATTACAGATGGACCTAAAAATAGCTATTCAACAATCTTGTTGAGGATGAACTTGATATTTTAAAATTTAAGTATCAATTACTTATAATTAATGTAAGTATAGGGTAAACATCCAAATTATGTTATAGTTAAATATTGTGATGTGGAACGCTAAAAGGAGTCATATGCATTTCTGAAGGCCATTCTTGTGTTTGTCTGCGTAGCATATCGCTATTTTTTATAATATTTAGGTTCATTTCAAGGAGCAGGTTTGATGTAATGCTTTCTTCTGAGTTTTATTTATGGATAATTCCATAAGTTGTTTCCAGTCCAGTTGGAACTCTGTACCTTGTCTCATTTTCCCAGTGTTCATTTTATTTGTTTATTCCTTCTTGGGTTGAATTGCAATAACCATTTATTCAGTCATTCCTATAGGCTATCAAAGTCTTAATACAGTTCCAGACCTATACTCTTTTGTTTGTATTCTCATAATTTTGGCATTATCACAAACAAATACATATACTGAATGTTAGCATTTAACCCTACTGGAAGGTTATCACATACAAAGAACAATGTGAAGTCTTGGTATCACTCTTGTGGGAGACTACACCTAGTTATTCTTGCCCATCTTGACACTTCATCTCTGATGGTGGCTTTCTTTTTTCATAATACTGATATTTCTTAAACTTTACTGGCACCCTGCCTTTCACCCAGTGTCTATTGTCTTTGTGTTGTTTGTATTTGTGTAGTACAGTGTCAAAGGTTTTCTTGTTATTTTGGAATATGCACTCTGTTCATACTTCTCTTTCCTTCCTATCTGCCTTTTGTAAGCCTTAAACAAGATTTATTAAAATTATGCTGAACTATGTGAGGGATTTCATATTCCTTAGTTATTTCGCTTAATATCCTTTTCATTAATTGGAATTTTATACTGGTCTGTAGTTTAGTATCTTTCTGTCTCCATTATATATTGGAATTCAATTTAAAAACTTTCATGTGCTTAGCACTTTCCCTCAGTTTCTTGTGATTTATCAAAAACTTGAGTGGCTTGTATAGAGCTAGGGGTTCCTCTTTCCTATGTTGCAGCTTTAACAGGTCAGATTCATTTACTTTTAATGTTGCATACTGAGCATCAGAAGCCTTGTTATTCGCCATATTGGTATTTGATAGTTTTGCCATATTTGCCCACCATTTTACTTGTGGCTTCCATTTCGTGATATGGATATATTTGCAGTTTTGAACTGTAGTATTGGCATCCCTCTGGCAAGACAGTGATGGAATGAGTGATGGTAAAAGTGTTCTTATTTTTTGGGTCACCCCACCTCAGTGGGAGACGACCAGTGTGTTGAAAAAAAATCCCCACGCCCTTCCTTATCATTGTCTATGTGTAACCCACCTGATGTGACTGTGGAGACTCTTTAACTTCACTTGTTTCAGCTTCTGTGTACATTTTTATGGTCCTTTTTTATCTTCACTTGTCAATTTCAGGTAGTCATTTCAGTCATTTGCTCATATACTGGTGTAGGATGTGTTCCTTATTTTTTCCAAGCTCTTTTGTTCTAATATTTGTATCTTTGTATAGGTAGTAGGTTGGTAGACAGCAGCCGCCCACGGAGGTACTACCGTCCTGCCAAGCGAGTGCAAAAACGGAAACCTGTAATTGTTTTACGTGATGGTAGGATTGCTGGTGTCCTTTTTTCTGTTTCATAAACATGCAAGATTTCAGGCACGTCTTGCTACTCCTACTTACACTTAGGTCACACTACACATACATGCACAAGCGTATATATACACACCCTCTGGGTTTTCTTCTATTTTCTTTCTAGTTCTTGTTCTTGTTTATTTTCTCTTATCTCCATGGGGAAGTGGAACAGAATTCTTCCTCCGTAAGCCATGCGTTTTGTAAGAGGCGACTAAAATGCCAGGAGCAAGGGCCTAGTAACCCCTTCTCCTGTTTAAATTACTAAATTTAAAAAGAGAAACTTTCGTTTTTCTTTTTGGGCCACCCTGCCTTGGTGGGATCTGGCCAGTTTTTTGAAAAAAAAAAATTGTATCTTTGCACTTAAGATTGAAGAAGGGTTCTTCCAGTGCTATTTGTCTATTGACCTGCAGGTAAATATCATCTTCATTATAATTCTTTGTATTTCTGGCTAAGAAGTTTATTTCTTGACTGGTTTGCCTGTTGAGCTCAGTGTTAAAAGTTTTTTTTTTTTTATCTGAAATCATCCCATTTCTTTGTAGTAACTTTTTTTTTTTAATAATATTCTCCTGGACTCTTCAACATCACTTCTATTGTTAGAAGAGCATCAGTGCACAATGAATGCTCACTCCTAGAAGAATTCTGCAGTCCACTTGTTCTATAACTATGTCATTAGAGGATAGTTCTGTGGCCATCAAGCTCTTTATTGCTCAATCAAGGATCTTTGCTTTCCATGTCTCTGAGTCCTCCCAGGAGGCCCCAGTTCTTTCAGTGACTCCTTCAGAGGGAAGTGCCTTGATGTTGGTGAAGGGCTTTTGATCAGAGAAATCAGAACTACCCTCCCTTCCTTGGATTAAACCTGATTATCTCCTATTCCCAGGGGCTGTATAACCCCTATGAGCTTAGCACTTTGCCATGAATATAGTAATTCTCATTGGCAGAAATTGTATGTAGATTTTGTATACCAGGTATCCATTATTTGGGATTAGATATTTGCATTAATGAGTAGGTGTATTTGCCTGTGGTTTAATAGGCTAGATGTATTAGTGAGTTGACTAGCTTATATTTAATAAACCATACAGTAGTGAGTTAATTATCTTTTACTTAAATACACTAGGTGCATTTGTGAGATAACTAGGTTTCTGGGTGTAGTAGTGAGTTGATTAACTTGTGCATTAATATTCTGGGTTCAGCAATGAGTTGATTAATTTTGAGTTTAATGCACTGGGTGTGATAGCAAATTGACTAATTTATGGTTAATATCCTTGGTGTAGCAGTGAGTTAACCAACTAGCGGTTTAATATGCTAGGTGCAGTAGTTAGTTGATTAACTTGTTTTTAATAGAAATATCATTCTCTTCAGTCTTAAGACATTTATTTGTTTTACAGCATTGCAGAATGAAGTAATTTTTTTTTTGGTAAAGCATCTTACACTGCACTTTGTTTAATTGCTTTTCATCTACAATTACTAATGCAAATTTATTTTCTTTGCTCAGCCTTTTGAAAGGATGGAAGCCACACTACATAAAGACCTAATAACAGAATTAGGGTTAGCATCAGACAGTGGTATATTCATCACTCTCCATCAGCAAGGGATTGCTCGAGGTGTGAGAGTTACTGAAACCAGTTCCGATCAAATAGTGGTGACAGGTTCCCTAGTGGAGCTTCTGGCATCCAGGGTAAGGGCTTATTTTCATTGTGTTTTATATGTGCTTCTGAATACTTGAACCTTGACATATTTAAAATATGGGGAATTGGAAAAAAATCCTTCCTCCGTAAGCCATGTGTGTCATAAGAGGTGGCTAAAATACTGGGAGCAAGGGGCTAGTAACCCCTTCATCTGTTTAAATTACTAAATGTAAAAAGAAGAAAAATGGGCTAGTAACCCCCTTCTTCTGTTTAAATTACTAAATGTAAAAAGAAAAACTTTCGTTTTTTCTTTTTGGGCCACCCTACCTCAGTGGAATATGGCCGGTTTGTTGAAAGAAAAAGAAAAAGAAAAACTTTTGTTTCTTCTTTTTCGGGTCACCCTGCCTCAGTGGGAGACAGATATGTAAAAAAAAAATTTTTGTACATTTAATACTTTTAGATTATTGACTACCATATTTAGTTGTGCTATGGTATCCCTTTAAGGAAGGTGGGCTGTATGAATGACCCTTATGGATTTTGCTCTTCCCTCTAAATATAAGTATAATAATACATCCTCTCCTCACTTAGTGACGTATTCGTTTAATGACGACTCGGACTTACAGTGCTCTCTCTGACCAGTATGCATACCTAAATAATGTGTATTAGAGCCGATTTCCTCTATTCTGTTTATTACGGTATACAGTACACTACTGTATAAATATTTAAAAATATACTAAAAGTGTTACAAATAGTGCAAAGGTGACATTAAAACAATATCAAAGATGGTTGACACAAATCCACTACCATTATACAGTAGTATGCTCCTTGCTTAGTGACGAATTTGTTTACCAATGTGGCCTTAGGAATGGAACTCCATCGTTTAGCAAGGAGAGGCTGTATATGCATCCTTCTTCCTCATCTATTTATTCACTCAGTAATTCAAATGAGGCTTTTACTTTGTGAATACAATTTTATTGCCACATAACTGAGTAACCATCATTCCCCTTCTGATGGTGCATTTCCTTTTTTTGGAATGTTACCCTGCATTGGTGGGAGACAATCAAGGGAAAAAAATAAGAAAAATGAATGTGGAACTTAAAATATTTACCCCCTAGTGATTCATCATTGGGAATTCCCATTGTTAGAAAGTACAAGACCGAAGGACTCCACTTAGTGACACCTGTACAGTGGCAATTTATTTTTATAATAATAATGTTCCTCATGTATAAATTACTAAATGTAAAAAGAAAAACTTTTGTTTTACACTTTAGATCATTCTGCCTTAGTGGGATATGACCAGTGCATAGAAAAAAAAAATTGCATCGGTGAGAAAAATCTGCATTGTAGTAATGTTTTGGTAAACATTTTTGTAGAGCTAACTTGAAATAAGAATAAATGTACTCTAATAAATTTTGTGTATGAAAATATTGACTCCTGAAATCCTAGTGCAGTATCACGATTGTAAAAAACTCATGGAACAGACAGTATTTGCATCCTGTCCTTTCCATTACTGCAGTTGTAAATAGAGTAACTGTAACATGAATATTCACTAGAAATATAGTCAGAAAATAAGCGTTTAGTAAATTTGTATGCTTGTAATTTTTTTCCATTCTGGTGGTTTTTTTTATACTTTTTTTTTTCAACAAGTCGGCCATCTCCCACCGAGGCAGGCTGATCCAAAAAGAAAATCCCCAAAAAGAAAATACTTTCATCAACATTCAACACTTTCACCTCACTCATACATAATCACTGTCTTTACAGAGGCGCTCAGATACGACAGTTGAGAAGTCCCTTCAAACTGTCAATATCCTAAACCCCTCCTTTAAAATGTAGGCATTGTACATCCCATTTCCAGGACTCAAGTCCGGCTAACCGGTTTCCCTAAATCCCTTCACTAAATATTACCCTGCTCACACTCCAACAGCTCGTCAGATCCCAAAAACCATTTGCTTCCATTCACTCCTATCAAACATGCTCACACACTCTTGCTGGAAGTCCAAGCCCCTCACCCACAAAACCTCCTTAACCCCCTCCTTCCAACCTTTTCGAGGATGACCCCTCCCCCTTCTTCCTTCCCCTACAGATTTATACACTCTCCAGGTCATTCTATTTATTTATTTATTTATTTATTTAAAAATTTGATCCATTCTCTCTAAATGACTAAACCACCTCAACAACCCCTCTTCAGCCTTCTGACTAATACTTTTAGTAACTCTATACCTCCTCCTAATTTCCACACTCCGAATTCTCTGCGTAATATTTACAACACACATTGCCCTTAGACAGAACATCTCCACTGCCTCCAGCCACCTCCTCACTGCAGTATTGACAACCCAAGCTTCACACCCATATAAGAGTGTTGGTACCACTATACTTTCATACATTTCTTTTATACATCTCAAGTATAATTTTATGCTAAAGAGCTACTAGCTGTTGTTTAGTGTTGCTTACCAAGTATCTTTCTTCAAGATTATTAATTTCATTATATATTTCAGGACATGATTCTTTTAGAAATTCAAAAAATTCGAGGCTTGCCAACTTCACCTCAGACAAATGTTTCTACTGGAACACGAGAAGTTGGAGTAATGTGCGAGTTAATTCCCTCGCCTCCCACTGCTCGATATGCTTCATCACTGGGTCTCGACCGTTCTGCCCGTCGATACCATTCCGTCCTTTCCCGTCCTCTATCTCCAGAGCCCTACCAGCAACATAGACGGTCAAGAAAGCATTTGATGTCACATTCTAAATTAAGAAAAACTGAGGAAAAGCACATATTCAGAAGTTTCAGTGAAAGAATGTTGAACAAGCAGTCAAATCAGACAAACAGAAATTTGGAATGCATCAAAATTGAAAAAGATAATGAAGACAAACTATCCAGGAAAAGCTGCTCAAACACTCAAGAACAGAATCCAAATGTAGAAATACTGTTTGGAGGTTTAAAAACTGAACCAGATTGTGATGAAACAATTATCGTTAGTAGTATAAATAATTCTGACATAAGGGAACTTGACAGTGACCATATAAATAAAAAATTAGTGGTAGTTAGTAAAGCTGATGATGATTTTAGTTTATCACCAATAACAAAAGATATTGTATTAAAGCCCTTGGATGATAGGGAAGTCCAGTTTAGAGGCTGTGTCGAAGGCTCAAATAATAAGGAAAATATTGATACTGCGTGCGTCAAGGAGGTTAAAGAAAAAGATGAAGAGGAGGAGGAGGAGGAGGAAGAAGAAGAAGAGAGCCTAGATATGGATGTAGAAAATGACAAAGTTATTTGTGAACCAGAAATAAGTATGTCAGAAGGACATGAAGATGATCTGTCTAAAGATCATTCTAATGAGGAAGTGAAATTCAAATTTTCGTGTAAAATTTGTTCTTACAAGAGCATGAGGGAAAACCACTTTGTAAAGCATATGCAGCTGCATGACAAGGTAGGCTATTGTCAGCTTAAGAATTTTTAATATATTTTTTTTTTTAATAAAGGAGGTTTTGTGTGCGAGGGGCTTGGACTTCCAGCAAGCATGCGTGAGCATGTTAGATAGGAGTGAATGGAGACAAATGGTTTTTAGGACTTGTGCTGTTGGAGCATGAGCAAGGTAATATGAAGGGATTCAGGGAAACCAGCAGGCTGGACTTGAGTCCTAGAGATGGGAAGTACAGTACCTGCACTCTGCAGGAAGGGTGTTAATGTTGCAGTTTTATAACTGTAGTGTAAGCGCACCTCTGGCAAGACTGTGATGGAGTGAATGATGGTGAAAGGTTTTCTTTTTTGGGCCACCCAGCCTTCATGGGAAACGGCCAGTGTGTTAATTAAAAAGAGAGGGAGGCGGAGGTATTTGGCTTGGAGGAATTATTAATCTGTGCCAAAACTTAAAAGTTTATGAAAAGGCTTCACTCCACACTTTTAAAGTGTCAGAAAATGCATTCTATAAGAATAGAAAGGTGACACACAAATAGTGGAAGGCTGACATAGTGAAACATGAATGATTTAATAGGCATATAGCATTGTCTTTTGGAAATCCAGTTAAATATTTTAAGGGTGTGTAGAAATCATGAGTAATTCAAAATGAAAGGTGCTTCAATGAAACACAGGGTGTCCACAAAAACACTCCCTGATTTCAAACTTTATTGCAATAATCTTTCACATTTAGTAGCTTCAGATGCAGGATTTCATTCAGTTTCATGTGGTAAAGGGTAGCATTAAAGGCACTCAATGTGCACCCCTCTGGTTGCTCAGCAAAGTTCAGTCCAGACGCTCTGCAGCATATATGGTGTTATCATGCAAACTGCTTCAGTGATCAAGATTTTTAGCTCCTCCAGGGTTGTAGGTAGTGGTGGTATGTAAACTGTGCTCTTCATGTAACCCCAAAGAAGGAAGTCATGAACAGTCAAGTCCGGTGGCCTCACAGGCCACTTGGAGAGGTCACCAGACCTAACTGTTTGTGATTTTTCTTTGGGGGTACATGAAGAGCACAGTTTACATACCACCGCTACCTGCAACCCTGAAGAAGCTGAAAATTTTGATCACTGAAACAGTTCACATGATAACACCAGATACGCTGCAGAGCGTCTGGACCGAACTAGACGAACTGAAGTATCGCATCGATGTTTGCCAAGCAACCAGAGGGGTGCACATGAATACCTTTAATCCTACCCTGTACCACATCAAACGGAATGAAATCCTGCATCTGAAGCTACTAACTGTGAAAGATTATTACAATAAAGTTTTAAGAAATTGTCATCTTTGCTACTGAGTTTACAGAGTAAGAATTGAAACATATTTAGGGTATGTAATAAACCAAATCATTTTTTGTTTTTCTGTTTTCCATAACATTCCTGCAAGCGCAGAGTACAGTGGAACCTTGATACTTGAACAGCTACGTACACGAACATTTCGGTATTCAAAAGATTTGTTTGTTAAACAAATCCCTCGGTAGTCAATCGTTTGCTCGGCACTTAACCAAACAAACATGACCTACCTGAACTTCACTGTAAACTATTTTGTGTTTCTTCACAATGTATTTGTATAAGTCACCATGGATCCTAAGAGGGTTAGTGATAACTGCTAACCACAAAGAAAATTGGTTGGGAAAAATTTGTTCTGTACTCAAACAGACTGGCACTCTAACAGCCTTCTAGAACCAATTAAGTTCGAATGCCGAGGTTCCACTGTATATATATGTGTGTATATATTTGTCATGTTTTCCATGACATTTTTGCAAGCTCTCGCATGAAGTATAACATGGTAAATCACTGTAAAGAATATCAAAAGTTTATTTTAGTGACTGCAAGTTTAATACTTTTCTTTAAGGAATAATTTTTCCTGACTATTTTCTCAAACACTACAAGCTTAAGAGAGAACAAAAATCCAGTGCCAACAAGTCCAGAAATTTGAGGTGGCTAATTGACACCAGTCTTGGATTAAAACAAAACAGTTGGGCAAGAGTAGGATCTGCATGGCATGGGAAAATAGGCCTACTTCAGTGCTCTTTTGTTCTTTTTCACAGAAGCAATGATTTTGCAATATATTTTTCTTATGAGTGGCTGAAAGGTAGGACCTGCATAGCATGGGCCAGTAGGTCTAACTGCCATGCACTTTTCTATATATGAAAGCTATGGTTTGTTAGTTGAGTTGTGTATGAGTGAGAATGGTTTGGAAGAGTAGGGCATAATTAATACTGTATCATAAATTATGAAATAGAAATAAATGTATGGTGATGAAGACTTGATCATCTTTGCAGGGTTTGGCATTATATCGATGCAATGAATGCACCTTTGTATCAATCCGTGCAAGTCACTTGCGTCGCCACAAGATGTCACACGCACAGCAAGTTCTCAACTGTCATCTCTGTGCTTACACTTGTGATGATCAAAAGCTTCTTACTAAACACATGCGAGTTAAACATCAAACATCAAAACAACCAAAACCTGTAAGTAGAAGTTACTGAAGTTCATGAATCTATTTAAACACAATAGAATGATTCTTAAAAATTTCTTAAAAATTTCTAGATTCACTGAGATCACCAGGAACACATCCCTCGTGAATGTGGAGGGAGCTGTGTGCAGCAGTGTTTGTCATGCATGTTACTTCCTAAATTAAAGGAAGACTGGAGAGTAAGAATCTAGTACCAACACCATCATCATCTTTAGACTATACATATTGTATGACTCCAAATCATTATACAGAATATACTGTATGTTTAGAAAACTGTGCCACTGTTGTGACATTTTTCAGAAACCATCAACCAGGTTTTTTTTGCATTTTTTTGATCCTATAATAGGACTAGAGTACAGTTGGCTAGGTGATCATTATGTAGATCCAGCAGCCCAGCAGTTTGAGTTAAAGTCCTGCTGAGGAGTCCTTGTTAGTTTTTTTTTTTTTTTTCAACAAGTTGGCTGTCTCCCACCAAGGCAGGGTGACCCAAAAAAGAAAGAAAATCCCCAAAAAGAAAATACTTTCATCATCATTCAACACTTTCACCACACTCGCACATTATCACTTATCACTGTTTTTGCAGAGGTGCTCAGAATACAACAGTTTAGAAGCATATACGTATAAAGATACACAACATATCCCTCCAAACTGTTACTAAATAATAATTAGCTAATTTCTGGAGTACATATAGAGTAACCATATCCTCTTCAGCTTATAAAAACCCAAGACCTTTGCAAATATTCAACCAAATGAAGGAGATGGACTTTGTTACAATATCTAACTGTGTCTGTGATAATGAGTTGGGCCCATAGTAAATATTCATAAAACAAGTGTCACTCATTTTATGCTGTAAATGTTATTCATTGCTTCAAGTTCTTTCTCTGTTAGATATTTTCTGCACTATGTTCTTGTCTGTTTTATTTATATCTGTTTTCTACTTGTATATGTATGTCATATCTCCCTGCATTTTATATCTTTCAGGAGTGTGTAAGTACAGGACTTTCAGTCTAAGTGCAAAAGATTGCATCTCACAATTTCATAGTATGATAGGGCTTTGTTCTTTATTATGTGAGCAGTGACCTGTTTGGCATTCTTTTGAGTTGGTAACAAACTCTACTACTCATTGCACAAGCTCTTATTTTTTTTTTTTTTTGTTATTCCTTATGGTACAAATGGCTGATTCATTCACATTTAACTTAGGGACAGTTTCCATCACAAATACACCACCTCTAAGCATATCTAACATTTTCATAATTTTTTTTTTTCAACAAACTGGCCGTATGCCACCAAGGCACGGTGGCCCAAAAAGAAAAACGAAAGTTTCTCTTTTTAAATTTGATAATTTATATGAGAGAAGGGGTTACTAGCCCCTTGCTCCTGGCATTTTAGTCACCTCTCACGACACGCATGGCTTACGGAGGAAGAACTCTGTTCCACTTCCCCACGGAGATAAGAGAAAATAAACAAGAACAAGAACTACAAAGAAAACAGAAGAAAACGCAGAGGGGTATGTATGTATATATATATTCTTGTACATGTATGTGTAGTGTGACCTAAGTGTAAGTAGAAGTAGTAAGACGTACCTGAAACCTTGCATGTTCATGAGACAGAAAAATGGACACCAGCAATCCTACCATCATGTAAAACAATTACAGGCTTTCGTTTTACTCTCACTTGGCAGGATGGTAGTACCTCCCTGGGTGGTTGCTGTTTACCAACCTACTACCTAGGATTTTAATAATTATCTTCAATAAAGTAATAGAATCATGCATATTTTTCTCTGCATCCTCAGCCAATGCCACAAATATTCCTTTTTGATGCCATGAGACTACAGTGATGAAAATATCCAAAATAATGCATCTTGAAAAATAAGGAGCGAGTTAGACTTTAGAATAAAGGAATACTGCAGGAAACCTTGTGGCCCATGCTTTGCAGGTCAGACCCATCCTCTCTCACTTGCACATTTGTCGAGCCTTTTTTAAATGATACCTAGGGTGTTGACTTCGATAACTACTTATAAGACTGCTCCACTTCTCCACAACTCTCATACTAAATCATTACTTTCCTATAGCTTTTCTAATTTTCAATTTATTCAGTTCAAATCCATTACTTTAAGTTTCTCTTGTTAGATATTCTCAGCACCCTCTTTATAATCTCCACAAGACATTCCAGAATGCAACTGTAGGTGGCAAGGGTAGTCACTGAGAGGGAAGGAGCCTTGTTCAACATCTTTTATTACCAATATTTCATGCATTAGCCAATTCTTTAGTTCTTTACAGCACATGTCAAGATTTTGTGCACTATCTAATTTTTTTGGTTGCACTTTTAAAGAGGTACAATTAAAAGAGATTAATGTGCTTTTTTTTTCTCAGATTGGTAGCGTATTTGAGTGTGATGAGTGCGAATACAAAACAAGTTTTCACTATGCCTTCCAGAGACACCGTCGCACACACTCACCTTCAAAGATGATTGTTATGCACACTTGCCCTCAGGTAACAGAGCGCACAAGCAACTTTATAAAGTATTGGTTTAGTAATATCAAAATTTTTGCTGCAATATATTTTTCACTTCTACATAGATGTAGAATATGTGATTTTTGTTCTTGAACCTTTTCAAGGAAACTTATATACATCTAATCACTGTTTACTGATAGATGTGTGGTAGTAACAATACTGAGTAACAATTAGAATTTTCTTAATATTTAAACACAAAATTTTTTTTGTCTGTACCAAGTGTACAAAAGACTGTATATCTCTTATTTTTTTTATACCTGTTTAGCAAACCCCTTAGCTTATTTTTTTGACATACTTTGTAGTTGGTATACTACTGTTGAATACTCCTTTAAGGTGAAGGGTTCTTGATTTAAGAATCTGAAGCTACCTTCCCTCCAAGGGAGGGGCTAAACTTCTATGAGGCCCTCCAAAAACCACCTCCACATAAAAATAATAATAATAATTACAGCTTCAACATAAGTGCCCTAGCTCCCCCTTACCCTTTATTCCTCCAGACTGCCACCCGTAAACCCATCATGAGTAAATTTTTTGGAGCTGACCCTCTACCCTTCCCTTCCTCAGATCAAGCCTGACTACCTTACATTCACCAGGCACTGTATGGCTCTTTTAGCACTACCCTGTGAATATAAAAATAATATAGTTGAATACAAATGGTTTGTCAGTTTAAGTTTTTGCCATTGAGTAATCCTATTATATCTTTCATGCACACTATCACTTTTGCATGTAAAGCTGTGTGGTAAAGATTAGTCTCTCTTGTTTGATGATTGTGCTGTGCTATCAGAGGATCTCCTGTTGGTTAAAGTTCTCATTAAATCACTGCTATTGATCAGTTGTGCACATCACTAGAAGTTTAACATAGGCCAGTCTAGTTTTGATTTGGTTTGTTTTCATTTTACATTCAACATTCATTTCAGAAAGATGGTGCAATTAATAGTGATATATGCATAATGTTGTGGTGAAAGTGTTGAATGATGATGAAAGTATTTTCTTTTTGGGGATTTTCTTTCTTTTTTTGGGTCACCCTGCCTCGGTGGGAGACGACCGACTTGTTGAAAAAAAAAAAAAAAAATGCATAATGTTCACTTTTTTCTCCTTGACCAGTGTCCTTACAAGACAATGCGGCGTGAACACTTTTTAAGACACATAAAAAATGTTCATCAGAACTGCAGACCATTTTTATGTGACATCTGTGGCAAAGCCTTCAAGAGACAAGATGCCCTAAAGTAAGTACTCCCTTATTTTAGGAAGCTTTGCTGGTTGTGATGCCTTGTGGTTGTTCCCTTTATTTCTTTCTTTTTTCCTGCTTCATTGTTACCTGATATCTTTATATGTTCTAATTGCTTCAAAACTCATAAATCTTATGTATTATAATAAATTAATATTTTATAAATCCTAAGTAGTAGGTTGGTAGACAGCAGTCGCCAAGGGAGGTACTACTGTCCTGCTAAGTTAGTGTAAAGCGGAAGCCTGTAATTGTTTTACACAATGGTAGAATGACTTGTGTCTTTTTCTGTCTCGTGAACATGCAAGATTTCAGGTACATCTCGCAACTTCTGCTTACACTTAGGTCACACTACACATGCATGTAGGTACAAGCATACATATACACACCCCTCTGGGTTTTCTTCTATTTTCTTCCTAGTTCTTGTTCTTGTTTATTTCCTCTTATCTCCATGGGGAAGTGGAACAGAATTCTTCCTCTGTAAGCCATGTGTGTTGTAAGAGGTAACTAAAATGCCGGGAGCAAGGGGCTAGTAACCCCTTCTCCTGTATAAATTACTAAATTTAAAAATTGAAACTTTTGTTTTTCATTTTGAGCCACCCTGCCTTGGTGGGATATGGCCGGTTTGTTGAAAAAAAAAAAAAAACACTCGCATACATACCCCTCTGGGTTTTCTTCTATTTTCTTGAACAGTGGTTATAATTATGACCATAATTTTTAAAGGGATGGACCGGTAAGCCAACGGAAGGCCTCGGTCAGATGACTTAAAGCTCCAATGGCGGGTTATCATATGACTAAGATCTGCATCAGGAAACATTTGTCCTGTTTCCTGACAAACCTTACTTAACCTTTAAACGGTCCAAACGTATATATACGTTCTCTCGCATAGCGCCCCCAAACGTATATACATGTTTCCATTGTCATTCATTCAGCATTGGCATGATAAGCATGAGCTGCCTAGACATGACAGAATGGGTGTGCGCACTCACTGTGCGCCATATGAAAAAAATTGGGGATGCCTGGGTACCATGTGCTCTTTTATCCTATTAAAAAAAAAAAATTTTCTCCAAAAATTCGGGGCGCTACACGAGAGAACGTATATGTACGTTTGGACCGTTTAAGGGTTAACCTTCTATTTTTTTACTAATTCTTGTTCATGTTTATTTCCACATATCTCCATGGGGTAGTGAAACAGAATTCTTCCTTTGTAAGTCATGCGTGTCATAAGAGGTGATTAATAGGCTTGGAGCAAGGGGCTAGTAACCCCTTCTCCTGCATACATTACTTTTTAGGCCACCCTGTCTCAGTGGGATATGGCCGGTTTGATGAAAAAGTTACAAATGAAGCAGGTTACCCCCTCCTCCTTTTTTTTGTTTGTTTTTGAGAGCCTTTTTTAAATGGGCAATCTTCATCTCTGATTCTGTGAATGAATAGGTATAACTATACCAAATTAGTACAGTAACATAAATTTCTTAGCACCAGGTAATGAGCTAAAGGGCTAAATAGTCTCAGTTGAAAGTGGAAGCCAGATTTATAAAATTCTGTGCTGTTTTTTAATAATTTTTTTAACAGAAGAGTAGCCCTTGCTTTCCATAGTTTAACTTTTCCATACTAAATAGTTGCACAGTACTATATTTGGTCTTTGTAACCACTGTGGTAAATTCTGCTTTTCCATAGCTGGTTGGCACCATGAATAAACATCATGTTTTGTTTATTTCATACTTGCTCCCTGGCATATTCTTCTTTGTATTTATTGTGCATTTTGGCTTTTTTAAAGCTGTCAGTGCTGCGTATCACACAGGAGAAAGATTATTTTTGTATGCTAATGGGGAAGCATTAAACTTATATGGGTCTGAAAAATGGTATGGTGATACCGACTAGATATGGAAAAAGACACGTGTATACAGTTCAGAACATTTATTAGAGGAAATGTTTCACCATGAGTGGCTTCTTTAGTCCTAATAAGGGTCTAATAGCACCTGGAGAATAAGGTGTACAGTAGTGAACTTTGATCTAAGGAAGAGGTAGCTCCAATTCTTTTGATCAAGAGGATGATGGCAATAAGGAGGTAGATGTTATGAGTACAGTAGGAGAAGCAGAAGAGTTGAGGGTGAATACAAGAACACAACAAAGAAGTCACACTTAGTGCAGTAAATCGGTGTTGGTTATAAAGGCAAAGACACACTCAGCTTTAGAAGTGGGACTTTTAATCAGAAAGACAGACAGGGTGATCATGGTAGAACATGAGGAAGAGCTCAAAAATAAAGTTGGGATGCTCTCTGGTAAATGTAACACATTATCAAAATATGGTGAACTCTCAGCATGGCTTGGCAGTTGTCTGAAAGTGATGCTAGGTTCCTCTCCATGAGATAATCATGTAGAAGTCTGGTATAACCAATGTGCAGTTGCAACAGTACTCTGTCCCATGACTCACAACAGTGAAGGAGGGACAACTTGAAACCATTTCTTGATTTGATTAAATGCAAGCTTTTCGCCACCAAAGCAGACCTGTGCCCTGCCAGTGATCAAACAATAGCCGAATTAATGTTTTATTTTACCACATTAGCAATTTCCCATCAAAGCAGGGTCCACCAATGAAGGAAATGCATTCACCATCATTCCTTTTATAAGATGTGTTATTCTAGAATTGTGTGTGGCCATCACAGTTCAAATAGCCCTTCAAACTGCAAAATTACTCATCCTGTGATGCAAACACTATACTCCCTACCAACAGCTAATCTGTTGCCCCTGAATATCTTCATAATGTTCACCTGGAAATACAGCGGACCCCTGACTTACGATATTAATTCATTCCAGAAGTCTGTTCGGGTGCCTTTACCAAACGAATTTGTTCCCATAAGGAATATTGTAAATTAGATTAGTCCGTTTCAGACAACCAAAAATACACGTACAATAGTAGTTACAAAAATACAGTTACATAATTGTTCAAGTTGGGAGCTGATCGTAAGGCGGGGATCCACTGTGTTTGAAAAAGGGTAACCACCTTCAGAGGTTTGGAGAACTGTGGTACACACATTGAGTCTGCAAGTTCACTGCCACTGCCGCTGCTACCAGAATGGCCAGAGACCCAGCATATGATAACTTTATGTACACATATGTGATGCAGCCAGCATAGAATGCATTAAACAGGGAAATGTGAGAAGTCAAAGGCTTGGATCATTTGCAGTACACTTTGAGAGTCTGAGACTACAACAAATGGGAAAATAGATTTGATAAGAAAGTTGATAATGGTAATGAGAAATACTTACAATTCTGCTATGAAAATATTATACCAGTATATACCAGTCGATTGTGGCAATCTAAAACATCATTTAGGACTGCTATCATATCCTCCTGAGGCTTAGCATCATGTCATTTCTAGCACTATTTTTGTATTTTTATTGATCTGTGAATTATAATTTCAAGACCTTCCAGCTATACTTGCAGTAGTTCTAATTATAAACTTCTGTGGACAGTAAGTCATATTATTTTATTAATATACAGTAAACTCCCAGATGCATGTAAGTGGTTTGAATGAAGTATGTTATTCTTATATTTCACTACTGTATGTAGAGTATAGCATTTAAGGTGTTGGCTCGTTTTATTAATGCTCAAAGTCATTCACAGTACACAAATAACCCGCACATAGAAGAGAGGAGCTTACGACAACGTTTCGGTCCAACTTGGACCGAAACGCCCAAGTTGGACCAAGACCGGGTTATTTGTGTATTGTTCCAGTCACAGTATTGTGCCTTTTTATTATTTAGTCATTCACAGTAATTGTCATTTTTCTAACCTCATTCTATTTTGTATTTTATTTTTAATTGGAGCAGTTAGGAGTGCAAACCCCTTTTTACCATGCCTGTAAATCATTATCCACAGGTTTGCTATGCATTTTGTAAAAAACATAATGCCTTTGGATACCAATGGCCTACTGTATTTTTTTTTTTTAATAATCACTTCCTTTTATGATGTTATCTTAGAGCGCAGGTTCCCAAACCTATGGTCATGACCTGAATTTTGGTCGTGACCCAAAATTAAATGTTTTCTATGATATTTTGCTATAAATCTACAGTGATCTGCTGTGGTGTTAAGTAGGTACAAGTAACATTTGGGTCATGAAGCAAATGCAGTTTCAAATTTTAGGTTCATGGCAAAAAATGTTTGTTAACCACTGTCATTTAATGAATAAATTTTCATTCTTATAAACATCAAAATAACAATTTCCTGAAGAAATAAATTACTGTGTCACTATCTCAGTAATGGATATTCAAAACCACTTCAGAATGGGTATGCATTTGTCTTAAAGTAATGTTATATGCAGTATACTTATTAACTTTTCCATCTAATTTGTAAAAGTTTATAATACACCTCCTTAGCATTATGGCACATGAGTAAAGGGCCATATAATTTTGCCTTCTGAGTAGCTTGCCAGTGTTCTGACAGTATACTGTAAACAAAGGCCAGGCACCCAGCTGGTGACTTGGACCACCTAACAACAGGTTCAAACATCACCATCCCAGTATATTACAGAATTATGTATAAAATACAGTATCTGCATTGGAAGGTGGCACATAAAGAACTACATGTATTTTTTTTTTTACTTTTATTGAAGGGTATTGGATTCTGTATAAATATATCAAAAAACAGTACAGTATTTCACAATTACTTCAGAATTATTATGCATACTGTACTTAGTTTATTAATATAGATAAACCATATGAATTGAAAGCATTGGAGCTCTCAAAGACATAAAGGTCTGTTATCAGTGAAAAATATTTTTACAACAAATTATTTGTAGACTACAATATTTTTAAGTACTTTTCATAGAATTAATTTCTTTGGAATTTTTAATATATATGTACAGTATATGAAAATGTTGAAGTACACTAGTTAAACAGTATCTCTTCACTGGATTTTTTTTTTTTTTTTTTTTTTTTTTGTCTTCCAAATTTCTGCATCAACCTCTGCAGTGTCTTTTCTTAATATCCCAGTAGCACTGTCATTTACAAACAGTATCTTTGACAACTCCCATTTTATATAAGAATTATTATCTTTTAAGTTTCAACCTCCCTAACTCTAGCATTTACTTCTCTTACAGTCCTCATCTGTATTACATTTTTGAAAAATTAATGACAACTTTCTGAATAATATTCAGTGTGCTACTAAACTTCTGATATATTAGAGCATTGTCAAATTTTCTAGCCTTCTCCTCACTACTTCTCCCTACATGTCTTCTGGTTTTCACTTCACCTGACCTGTATTCTAACTTTCTCCTCAGCTCTTCACCTGACTTGTCATTTTCTATCCTTTTCCCTCTCAGTCATGACTTGATGATGGTCCAGGATGGACTAAAATGTCATTTAAAGTTTCCTCCAAATTGTGGGTAATTGTGAAATAAATACTGAAGACAGGACACCAAGATCTTTGCTTCAGTATCTACAGACATGCATTTGTGATTACATGTGTACACAAAACAACACTAATAATCAGTGTAAAAATTAATAAAACTATTTCATTATAATAATAACAAGTTCTTTCTTTTTTTTGTGCTTTAGACAGCATCACGTGTCACACTATCAAAATGTGGCTGATGGCAGCAGTGGACAAGTGGGACCATATGGATTTGTATGTCATATATGTCAAAAGATCTGCAGATCTGCGGCTTATCTTAAAGAACATATGGTAGGTTTTAACACTTATTTTCTATTAACTGAATTACTACATATAACCCATAATTTTGTGTGTGGGCATAGTCTACTATACTTATGTGATTTTGTTTTAAAAAGTCCATTTTAAGTGTTCCATAAGTAAAATAGTTTTAAAATGAATCTGATAGTCATTTTCTAAGACAGTTTAACTATTCCTTGTGTTGCTCATGTTCATGATGACTTCTTTTTTGTAACTTCATTGGACAAGATTTACCTAACACTTGAATAGTGGTTCCAGCAGCTGCTAAATTTACAAGTCCCATTCAAATATAAATTTTCTGCTGATTATTTCCTTAAGTTGAAATGAGTTATAATGCAAATTATATAGTATCAACAGCAAAAGATAGGCAAGCCTTTATAATTTAAAAAAAATAACATTAGTAATTTTGCGTTCATTTGCATACTAGTGGCTTTCTTTTGTGCCTAACAATGTTTTATTACATATAAACTACATTATCTTTGTACAACATAAAAGACATAAAAATTTGAATTTATACACAGATAACCTGCACACAGGAGAAAGAAGCTCATGATAACTTTTCAGTCTGACTTGGACCACTGACTGGTGTGGCTAGTCAATGATCCGAGTTGGACCGAAACGTTGTCATGATCTTCTTTCTCCTATGTGCAGGTTATTTGTGTATTTTTCCAGTCATGGCATTGTACTTTTTTGTTCTTCATTTTGAATTTGAATTCATTTATGGGTTTCTGTGAATAGACACACAATAATAATAAAGAAAAATAATAATAATGATAGTAATAATTATTATAATTTTGCAAGGATTGTTAAACCCTTTACCAGGCAGGTCCGAGTTAAATAATTTGTGCACACATCTTCAGAAGATTTGCTCTTCTTATTAGGCCACCCACTCTGAGGAACGATCCTTCTTGTGTGAGGTGTGTGGAGCTTCATTCAAAACTCGTTCTGTCCAGAGGAATCACGTCCAAACTATTCACCGACGACCACGTGCATTTACCTGCCCAGCTTGTGAAAAAAAGTTCAACACAAAATTTGCCTTATGTCGTCATATGAAACAACATGATACTAAGTAAGCTGCACTTACATAGCAATGAGTTGAATGTAGAGTATGTAAAATGTCCATTTGTACTACCTCATTTTTTAATTTTATATGGCAAGATGACATTTGTTGAGCTCAGATTTTGCTAACATTGATTATCTTGCTTTGTCAAGCATGAAAAACAAAATATTTGTCTTTGATTACATTATACATGAAAACATTGCTTAACATTTTCCATATTTTTTTTCATCAAACTGGCCATATCCCACCAAGGCAGGGTTACCTAAAAAGAAAAATGAAAGCTTCTTCATAAATTAAGTAATTTATACAGGAGAAGGGGTTACTAGCCCCTTGCTCCCAGCATTTTGGTCGCCTCTTATGACACGCATGGCTTATGGAGGAAGAATTCCATTACACTTCCCAGTGGAGAATGTTCCAAATATAGGATATAATAAAATGTGTTGAAAGAAGGAATGGATTGAAGGGAAGGTTGCTTTAATAAACATGTCACTTAGTTGTGTTTGATAATGGTGCAGAACAGACTGAAATGTCATCTGTAGATTCATTCTCCAAAGTTTGGATGAATTAGTGTGGTAGAGATTGGTCAAGATTTAACCCTTTTTTTTTCCCCTTGATTTTTTTTTTTTTGTGTGTGTGTGGGGGGGGGGGGCAAGGATATTTGCAGTTAGGAAGATAATTGAACTGTAGTATCGGTGTGCCTCTAGCAAGACAATGATAGAATGAATGATAGTGAAAATGTTTTTTTCTTTTTCAGGTCACCCTATCTCAGTGGGAGACAGCCAGTGTGTTAAAAATATATTTATTTCATGCATGTGTAGTAGGCTTATAGTTGTTTGGTAGAGATTGGGCAAGAACTGTAGAATAAATGATTATGTTGGGCAGTGTGGGTGAGTAGGCACCATCCTGTCCCTTACATAGCTAAAGCTAATGCTGCTGCCACTCAGGTGCAAATTTTCCCTTTCCAACTTTCCCTTCACACCACAGGTTTGAGCATGTGCTTACCCTCACTATAAGACTCTTTGCCACATGCCCAAATACCCACTTTCACAGTTCTCCCACACCATAGGTGTGGGCATGTGCTTACCTTCACTACAACATTCCTTGCTACACACCTAGGTACTTGCTACTCTTACCACAAGTGCCGGATTTTCCTATAGGCTTGGCAGGCTGAAGCCTAGGGCCTCGAAATCTAGGAGGCCTCTGTCCAAGGTGTATATTTTTGACAGTCATGGGCCTTTCTTACACGTGCTGTCATGCACTGTAGTCTCTAAACAACCCTTTAGTAATGCTCCTTGCACTCCATTTCAGAATAATACTGTCTTAAGCCAGTAACTTGACATGCATTGATTTCTGTATTGATTTTGACCTTCCATAAAAGCAGTGAGACAGATAATTTGACCGAGGCCCTCAGTCATTTGTACTCTGATGTTAATGAGAAAGGTGATACCAGGCTTCAAGCTAACAGTCTTTTGCAGAAAATGGAAGAACTGGAATTTATGTTTCTGCTTTATTTTTGGACCTGTGTATTAGGTCATTTTTCACAAGGTCACAAAGCCACTCAGAAATCAGAACTGTTATTGAGTACTTGTGCATGCTTGTACAGTTCACTTCAGGATTTTTTAAGCAAAGATTAGAGAGGATTTTGCTGAGCCTTGAGCAACAAGCAAAAGCCACCTTGAGACAAAGAGTAAGGAAATGGCAAGGAAATGACGGAAGCGCATCTGGTCCTGATACCTTAGATGAACTCTCTTCAAGAGATAAGTTCAGAATAAAATCTTTTATTCCTGTACTAGATGCACTTGAAGCCATTTTAAGAAGAAGAGCTACTGTGTATAGCGATGTTTCTCTAATGTTTTCCTTTCATGCTAATCTGACAGCATCTAAGCAGGAAATTCAGCAAGGTGTTGAACTGCTGATGGAAGCATATCCAGAAAATGTTAACCTGAAACTTACTGATGAACTTTTACACTCACTTGTACATGAGACAAAGCCAACAAATTGTTATAATCATGGGGGAGTACTAAAAACCCATAAGATTATACATCACACTTGGGGTGGGATGGAAGGTATTCAGGCTAATTTCAGGGAACTGGAGCACAGATCCAATTCCCTAGATCAAGAGCCCCTCATCAGCACCAAGGAACCTCACTTGAGGGGGTAGGCCAACAGAAGAACAGTCACTGTCTCGTGCAGACCTTTATCAAGTTATGTACAAGGAAAAAATTCAGATGGCCTTCCCTGATGTGGAAGCATTCTTGTGGCTATTTCTTAGCTTATTGGTCACTAACTGCTTGGAAGAGAGATTTTTTCAAGCCTCAGAAGAATTAAAAATGAATTAAAGGCCACAGAGTCTCAAGAGAAGTTGTCTGCACTGAGCATTTTGTGCATCGAAAGTGACAAACTTAGACAAACAAATTTTGATGAACTTTTGGATGATTTTGCTATGAGGAAGGCTAAAGAATAACTTTTTAAAAGTCTTAGTGTATTTGATGATTGTAGTTTCTTTATTTCTTAATATGTTGAATGATGGTGAAAGTGTTTCTCTTTTTTAGGATCATCCTGCCTCTGTGGGAGATGGCCAATGTGTTAAAGAAAAAAATGTGTATTTTAAAGAATATAACAGTAAACTTTCAGTTTTATTTTCCTAAAAATTCCTGCTTATTCCACAAAATGTTCACAAAGTGTTAATTTTCACATTTATGCCTTTTTTTCAATCACTACAGTATTTAACAATAACATCTTATGTCCTTTAGAGGAGATGTTGCGAATTGCAGAATTTTAAACACCCATCATCTATGGCTTCACTGAATTTTGTTTAAAACACTTGCATCTTCTAGTTGTGAGGGGTCGGGGATTGGGAGGGGCCTCACAAGTGGAATAGCCAAGGGCCTCCCTTCATCTAAATCTGGCACTGCTTACCACAACCCTATGTCGCATACCACAAGTCTGGGCACACACTCATCCTCATTAAAACCCTCCTTGCCACACCAGAGATATGTATTGATCCTCACCACAACCCTCTGGACCACACACCCAAGGCCTCGGCACCCATCGCCTTCACTAGAAATGAGGGGGTGGAAAGCATGTCGAGTGCTGTATCAGACATGATGGGAGGGAGAGGAAAGGAGGGAATGGGAGGGGGAGAAAGAGGAAGGGAAGAGGAGAAAAGAGATAACCCCTTTAAGGTGATTAGATTGTTCATAATTGTTAAAAAGAAAGATAATGAAAATTTGGGTCCAGGAGAACATTTTCAATTTTAACATGGGATTCTATGAAATAATATAGCTTTTGAGTATCGATCATTGTAATTACAAAAAAAAAATCAGGAAGGTATTCTGCTCACTAGTCCTGTACTATATAGGGCATTGTTTTATTCCACTTCATCAAAATACAGCAGTACCTCAAGTTTTGAACAGCTCCCAACTCGAACAATTATATAAGTGTATTTTGTAAGTGCTTTTGTAAGTGTATTTTTGGGGGTCTGCAACGGACTAATCTAATTTACACTATTCCTTGTGGGAGCAAATTAATTCAGTATTGGCACTCGAACAGCCTTCTGAAATTAATTAAGTTCGTAACTCGAGGTACCATTGTATATAATTTTTTAGACTTTTATTCTGTTCCTTTGTGCTTATTTATTAGATTATGTATTTTTAAGATTAGTATAATGATGGAGTATTCTAGCTCAGTTTTACTTTCAGTATTGATGACAGTGAAGAATTACCAAGTATTACTAGACATACAAGAATTACCAGTACTTCACGAATTTGTGACATACAACATTGTTCAGAACCAATGAATCATCCAGTAAGTAAAGATGTTGTAGTTATCCCTCACTACATGTGGGCTTGCCATATATGAATTCACCTTTATGCAATGACCCAGTTCCTATCAGTAATTCCCTGTATGTGTGATATAAATTCACTCTTGTGTTATTAGTGTCTTTTGCATAACAAAAGTGTTCCTCTACCTTGAATAGTAGTTGGAAGCATATTTGGACTGAGATATATGCACTGGCCTAGACTGCTTCTGTCGCCTGAAGTGAGGGATGCCTTTGTTAGAATTATGAGCCCTTATGGAAAAGAGTAACACTGAAGCCTTCCTCAGAGTTTTATTTGACAAGCTTTCACTATATTATTCTGTGGCATATTAACACCACTTTTGCGTCACAATACATACTCCAGGCTTATAAGACCACATACTTAACATTGCATTGGAAGGTAGGAGGGGTTGGGGTTGTCCCAGGATCAGTTGGAGGGATGATGCTAGGCTTCTTTAGTGTGTTGAGCTAAAGCTCTTAGAGTTTCATGAAAGTACTGATCTCCAGCTGTTAGAATTTTTATTTTGAGGGTTGAATTATAATTCATAGATCTCTTGAGGAAGTTGAGCTGCAGCTGCTCTACCTTTGATACAGCTGCTCTACTTCTGATACAGCTGCTAAACCAATTGCATACATTAACATGCAAGGGACTGGGATTGTGTGATGTAGGAGACACCTCTCTTGAATAGTACAGCAATTGAAGCAGGTCAAACTTATTTTACAACCCTTAATATAAAAAAATGTACCAGAACTTTAAAAAATAAATTAAAAAAAAAAATAAGAAGCTGAAGTACCCAAAACACGTATAAAATTCATCCCAGCATACATAAGGGGGATTACCAATAGACCCCTGGCTGTCTTCAAGAGGAAGTTGGACAGGCACCTAAAGTTGTCTTCAAGAGGAAGTTGGACAGGCGCCTAAAACCTGGCTAGTCGGTACCTGACCAGCCAGGCTGTGGCTCATATGCTGGTTTGCATGCGATCAGTAGTAACAGCCTGGTTACTCGGGCCCTGATGCACCACGAGGCCTGGTCATGGACTGGGTCATGAGGACATTGACTCCTGGAACACCCTCCAGGAATACACCTGTGTATCACCTTTTTTATTTCTTGTTCACCCAAAAATAAATAACTATGGTTTATATTTTGAAATTTATTTTGTTTATATTTATAAGCTTTTATATTTTTTTAAACAGAATTCAAGTGTTGTTCATACATCAAGTAAAAGCAGACCAGTCCTCCCTACCACACCTATTGGTTCTCCATCACAAAATCCACCATCAGCCTATCAAATAACAATTGATGGTCAACCAGCCTTTTTACTGCCTCATATTGATGCTCAGCATGCATCAATAGAAGACAGTGAGTCTTCTATCATTGAAGGTGAGATTTTTGTGAAGTTCATAGAGAAGCAATAAATCCATATTAATCAAAAAATGGGGATTTGAATTTAAGTAGAGATGATCAGGGTAAAGGTGGGTACAGCTCTGGTATACCCCTTTGCCTTGAAGAGAGTGAGGGTGAGATATTTATTTCAGGGTGTGAGAGAGAGAGTACCTATTTTTGAGTTTCAGAAACAGAGCTGTGCTCATGGCTCTGTGCCGTCACTGTTCAGTGTCTCAAATAATTTAAGTAATTTTTTGGTAGATTTGTCTTCTATTTAATTTTTCAGCGGATTAGTGTTTCATTGAGAACTTTGTTGAAAGCTTATTTGATATCCAGAAATGGGCAGTCTGCCTATTTGTTTCATTTACAAATAACTTGTCACTATCTTAGTACGTACTGTATCAGAAAATTGATACAGATATGTAGAACTTGGCTCATCAGAAACTGACATTTTTAACGGCAGGTTTTTGCTAACCAGTGTATTTATGAACTTTTCTCCAATGACTTCTTCATATTTTCACAATATTTATTAGTGATACAGACCTATATGCACAAATGTGTGCCATTTTTAATTTGTTTTTTAGAGTGGATATTGAAGTTCTTCATATTTTAAAGTTTATGATGATGTCATGTTGTGTATGGCTTAAGGAGTGATTTAATGTTACTATTCTGATTATTTTACGCACTTAAGGTCTGGAAAAGTTAAATACATTATCTACGGGGGCCCACATGGTGTCTTTTAATTTAGTCCCATGGAATGTGTTGCAGTGTCACAGTTCAATCCTGGGCTAAAAGTGTGGTCTTTGTTGTTGTGAGTGGTTTGGTGAACCATGAAATTTTCCACAAGATCAAATAGTAAACCAGGTATTCTACAAACTAGGTAGTAAGTTGGTAGACAGCAACCACCCAAGGAGGTACTACCATCCTGAAAATTGAGTGTAAAATGAAAACCTGTAAATGTTTTACATGATGGTAGGATTGCTGGTGTCTTTTTTCTGTCTCACAAATACGCAAGATTTTAGGTACGTCTAGCTACTTTTACTTAAACTTAGGTCACACTACATATGCATGTACAAGTATATATATATACACACACCCCTCTGGGTTTTCTTCTATTTTTTTACTAGTTCTTGTTTTGGTTTATTTCCTCTTATCTCCATGGGGAAGAGGAGCAGAATTCTTCCTCCATAAGCCATACGTGTCGTAAGAGGTGACTAAAATGCCAGGAGCAAGGGGCTGGTAACCCTTTCTCCTGTATACATTACTGAAGTTAAAAAGAGAAACTTTTGTTTTTCTTTTTGGGCCACCCTGCTTTGGTGGGATATGGCCAGCTTGTTGAAAGAAGAACAAATATTGATTTCTTTTGCCATCCTCAGTGTCCACACTAGTTGTGTATTACCTCTCAATTAAAATAAAATTTTCTCAACCTGAGGAGCTTCCACACAACTACTGTATTCAGTGAGGTGCCACCAAGATATGTCAAACCATACAACTACCTGGAATCTTCTGGTGGCTGGTCCACCACAGGAGACTGGTCAGTACTGCTTGGTATCTTGATGAAGACTGAATACCATGCTGGGGCCTTGTCCTTGTCTCCCAATAGACAGGTGAATGAAAGCTGCCTCTTGAAGTACTGTAGATAGCTGAGGGGATTTAGCTACTTTCTTAGTCACACCAACACCTCCTTGGATTCACAGACTTCTTAACTTTTCTGATATTAGATTCATGCAGCGTAATACCTTCACATGAATACTAAGTACATGAAGAAAATACCCGTTCCAGTCCAGCTCCCATCATGGGTAACCAGGCCACAAATGGAGTGGACTAACTGGTGGGTGTAAGTGAAATCAGTGGTCAAAAAGACACATCCACAAAAAAAAAAAATTGTGTAGAAATGAAAAGAAGCTGCCAATAGAGAACTACTATAATCAAGGAGGAAGAGCTAAACCCGGAGGATTATACAGCGCCTGGGGGGGGATGTGGAAGGCATTCAGGCTTAATTCGGGGAACTGGGGCACAGATCCAATTCCCTAAATCAAGAGCCCCTCACCAACATCAAGGAACCTTCCTTGAGGGGTATGCCAATAGAGAAAAAAGATGTTAGACAGCAAGGCTTAGGAAAGTATGGAATGTACCAATAGACAGAGCTCCATACTGCCCTCACAGGAAACTGAAGATGCTAACAGCTGTACCACAGTCTCATAATTCATAAAAAATACCGGTCTACTTTTTTTCCTCACAACAATGATGGAAAAAAAGGAAAAAACTTTAATTTTTGTCAACTGAACATTCAGAAAAAGGGTTGACCAGGCCTTGTTCCTAGCATTTCTCTTAACCCTTTCAGGGTCCAAGGCCAAAATCGGAAGGGTGCCCCAGTGTCCAAGAAATTTTGAAAAAAAAAAAAAAATTATTTTTTCTTACAGAATTAAAGAGTAAATTTTTGTGAATGTAATAAAACAAAAACAAAAAATTTTCTGATCAGTACTTACCAAGATACAGTGCCGAGAAGTTGACCCAAAATGACCGGGTGGCAGCAACATCGACGATTTCCACATACGCGCATTACTTTATTTTACGTTTTTTATAGCTTTTTCTTTTCTTTTCTAATTTTTTTCTTTTCCTACTAACATTTGGGGCCTGAGAGACCAATACTGTATATAATGTATATATATAAACTCACTGTATTGAACACAATAACCGCACTAAAGTTATTATCATATTATTGTTTACAGCTTTTGTTTATTACAATAAACATGCACAGATCTTGTATAATACTAATGTTCTATCATATATTTACATATTTACAATCACTGGACATGTTTTTAGAACTGCTGGAGCTTGTGGAACTCCTTGAAACAAGGCACCATGCACAAAGGTACCTTACATTCCTCGCACATAAACCGAGTGTCTTTGCGTCTTTGTTGCCGTTGTTTTGTTTGTGCACAGACAATGCGTCTCTTCTGAGCAAATTTCTTCTTAGTTGCAGGAAGCTGTATTATGAAATGATCACCTTCCCTCCTCAAACGCTTGGGTATGTCCTGAGGAGTTCGAGGACGTTGTTGTATAGCAGGTGTTGTTACCTGGTACTTCATTATGAGTTGTCTGACAACAGACAAACAAAATTCACCATAGGGTGGTCTGTTGCCAGTCTTCACTTGGTACATATTATATGCATTGAGCATTGAAATGTCCATGAGATGGAAGAAAGGTTTCATGTACCACTTGTAACTCTTACGAACACAATCAACAAAGCCAATCTGCATGTCACATTTGTCAACCAAGCGCATGTTTTGTGTATAATCAATCACTGTCACTGGTTTTCAGATATGTTCATTAGTCATTCTATCAACTTTGCCACTGTCTTGCATTTCGTTACGGTGAATGGTTGTCAACAATGTGACATCTTGTTTGTCATGCCACTGTAATGCCATGATGTCATTGGCAGTAAACACTTGCACCTCATCACCACGAGTACCTGCGTTGAACCTGGGCATATATTTACGATTAGAACGCACTGTGCCACACACACCTGTCTTGTTCACTCGCAAGAAATCACCGAGTATAGGGCTTGTGTACCAGTTATCGGTATATAATGTATTCCCCTTACCAAGATAAGGTGCCATCATGCTTCTCACTACGTCACCTAAGATACCCAATAACATCCTGGTATCTTTCAATGTTTTACTTCCCGTGTATACAACAATATCCAATACCAGGCCACTGTCACAGTCACAGAGTACAAACAGTTTTATACCAAAGCGTTTCCTCTTGCTTGGTATATACTGTTTGAATGACAGTCTACCTTTGAACAAAATCAAAGATTCGTCAAGTACAAGATTCTTGAATGGATAAAAGTACGTGTTGAACTTTTCTTTCAGATACATAAAAACATTTCTAATCTTGTATAACCTGTCACTTCTGTCAGGCCTGGTTTTGTCAGAGAAGTGCAACATACATAACAGTAAGATAAACCTGTTCACTGGGACAATTTCACTGAAGACCCGGGTACAAATTAGCCGATCTGTGGACCAGTATGCTTTTATATTATGCTTATAGACATGAGGCATAAGCATTATTGTTGCAAAAAGCAAATACATTTCTGCAACAGTCGTCTCTTTCCACCAGTGTAGTCTTGACTGTGGTGATATCGTATTTGCCATGGTGTACTCAAAATACTTGTTACTTTCCCTGACAATAGTTTCCATCAAGGGCTGGTCAAAGAATAATTCAAAAAATTCCAGTTCATTGGCAGTGGTTCCAAGGGGACAAGTAGGTAGAATTCCACTTTGAGAGTCATCAAAGTGGTGGGGTTTGGGAACAAAATTGGGATTTTGCTGCCAATCCCAGATATGGTTTGCTGGTGGATACTGGACATCATAGGCTGGTTGTGCTGGTAGTTGTGGTTGTGGTGGGCTGGTGGCTGACGCTCCGCTTTGTCCTTGAACTGAAGAGTCAGCAGTGTGAGTCCCAGCCTGGGCTGGTGAGTCACGCATGGCTGTGGCACTACCACCACCTACTGATGCCTGTGGTCTATCCATGCCAAGTGTAGCCACATCATCCTCACTTTCACTGTCTATTTCTGGTGTAGGGCCACGGGATGTACTCCGTCCCCTGGGCACTGCATAGGGAACACTACCCGAGTGCATGCGGCGGCGTATATACTGACGCTTCACTGGTGAATATGTTTCCTCACTATCACTACTCGAATGATCGTCAAGAGCAATAAAATCACAATCCACGTCACTATCATCATCATTACTGAAGTCAGAGGCCTGGCCACACAAAAATAATAGTTTTCTCTTGCGATGAGGTACAACTGACCATGATTAAGGAGTTCCCACACCAGAGGTAGAAGGTTGAGGATCGTCAGGGTTTTCTGCACTATTATCGATATCCTGGTCATTCCTTTCAGTCACTAACTGATCAAAGCCAAAGAATTCGTCTTCATTTCCACTTCCATCAGAGTCAGAACTATCAGATAGGAAGAGGAGAGTCCCAATTTTCCTTGGAGTGAGAGCTGCCTTGCGACGAGGCATGGTGAACAAAGGTAACTGAGCCAGTGTTCCCACAATGCTATGCAGGCGCCTAGAATTTTTGTTTACGGCGCACACGAACCACGCAGACCCATTCTCTCACATGTAGGTCACCAGCGTTTTCGTGCTAAATTTGACGCCGCTAGAATTTTGGCGTACATCTACGGTTTGGACCCTGAACGTAAAGCCGTAGATCTACGGGACGGACCCTGAAAGGGTTAAATGCTTGTATATGTACAAGTTTATATCTAGTAACTAAAGTTTATTACTTCCACAGGCAACAGCACAGTTATAGTTGGAGGAGATGGTACAAGTGGAACAGAACTTGGTTCTCTTGCTAGTCAGGGTGGAAGTGCAGCTGTTTCAGTTCCTGTTGGACCAACTACAGTTCACATAGTCAATCAGGTAAACACTTGATGTGTTACTACTACTCTCCTCACTGCAAATTATGTTTTTGACTTCTATAATAACTGTACATTTCAAGAAATGACTAAATACATTTTATTATTTCCCCGTGCTTGGCCATTATTTATGCCAAGGGTTGGATACTAAATTTTTACTAAAGCTTTTAGGACCCTTGAAAAAAACATTTCCCTATTTAGATATTCTAACACTATCATCTTCATTCTATATTTATAATACATCTTGCTCTGTACCATAACTCGGTGTGTATGGAACAAATTAGCTTACTGTATACTGTACTTTATTTGGTAATTCCTTCTTTCTTCGTTATATACATATATTTTTTTACACTTGCCATCTCCCACTGAAGTACTATGACCCAAAGAAGACACACACTAACTTTCATTCATTTAATCACTGTCTTAACAAAGGCGTGCTGACATTATAGCTCAGATGACCCTCCGAACTGCAACATCCCTACCTGAAAGATCCTTCAGGGAGAAGAGGCTGCCTTCATGTTGGTGAAGAGTTCTTGACCAAAGGAATTGAAGCTACCCTCTCCTTAGATCAGATTTGATTACTTGTATTTCTCCAGGTGCTGTATGACCCTCTACAGTACTTAGTTTATACACATTGATTCATTCATTCTCTCATTCTCATTCTCTCATTTTCTCATTCTCTCTCATTCTCTCTCTCATTCTCTCTCTCATTCTCTCTCTCATTCTCTCTCTCATTCTCTCACTCATTCCCTCATTCTCTCTCTCATTCTCTCTCTCATTCTCTCATTCTCTCTCTCATTCTCTCTCATTCTCTCTCTCTCTCTCTCTCTCTCTCTCTCTCTCTCTCTCTCTAATTCTCTCTCTCTCATTCTCTCTCTCTCTCTCTCTCTCTCTCTCTCTCTCTCACATACACACCTACCTACCTTACCTACCTACCTTACCTACCTACCTTACCTATCTACCTTACCTTACCTTACCTACCTTACCTACCTACCTTACCTACCTGCCTACCTTACCTACCTTCCTTACCTACCTTCCTACCTTACCTACCTACCTTACCTACCTACCTTACCTACCCCTACTTACCCCTTATTCATTACAGTAGATCCAGGGCTGCTCACACCACTCAGTACATACATGCAGGAAAATATTGTTCAAATGAAAGCTTGGTTATGTAATGTGTCTTTTAATAATAGTAAAAGGACACAGATGCAATTACTGTGATATTTTATTGTGGCATTTTATTGCCAAAATAAATTGTCACATGAGTTGCATCTGTGTCCTTTTACATAACTGTCTTTTCTTCCTTATTGTTTGCTATAGGTTATTTAAATCCAACTTCATTGATGACACCTTTTAAGGAAGTCTTTATGAATTGTGTGTGGAAAAAATCTGAGTATTTTTTATTTTACATGTATATATAAAATATAACATTATAAATATAAAAACTTTTGTAACAGGATCCTCTCTCTTCTGGTTCTGCCAACCTGATTCTTTCTTCTGACCAGTATGAGAGCAGCCGTGGATCATCTGTGGTACCTGGTGATACAACTAATTATGTAAACTCAGAACATGGGAACTCAACTCTCTTGTACTTAACAGCAAATTTTCATTAAAGAAACTATTGCATTGTACATTTCAATAATAATAATAGCTGAATGGTTATTGTACTAGCCTAAAAGAAGTCCTGAGTTTGACTCACACCGAAAAGACTTTCTAATTTGGTTAATTAGTTTCCAAAGTATGATCACTCAAAACTGATCTTCAGATTGGAGATAAAACACAGTACAGTGGACCCCCGCATAGCGAACTTAATCCGTGCAAGAGGGCTGGTCGTTATGCGAAATGTTCGCTATGCGAATTAATTTTCCCCATAAGAAGTAATGGAAATAAAATTAATCCGTGCAAGACACCCAAAAGTATGAAAAAAAATTTTTTTTACCACAAAAAAATGTTAATTTTAGTACACACAAACTGAAAAAGGCATGCACAATTACATGACACTTACTTTTATTGAAGATCTGGTGATGATTGATGGGATGGGAGGAGGGGAGAGAGTGTGTTAGTGTTTAGAAGGGGAATCCCCTTCCATTAACACTTGAGGAGGCAAGTCCTTTTCCGGGGTTACTTCCCTTCTTCTTTTAATGCCACTAGGACCAGCTTCAGAGTCACTGGACTTCTTTCTGTCCATAGAGCTCTGTACCTCCCGTTCCTTTACGATTTGTCTAAAATGGGCCATAACATTGTCATTGAAATAGTCACCAGCACGCCTTGCAACAGCTGTGTCAGGGTGATTTTCATCCATAAAGGTTTGCAGTTCAACCCACTGTGCACACATTTCCTTAATTTTTGAAGTAGGCACAATGGATTCCACAACTGGCATAGGCTTCTCAGGGTTAGCCCCAAACCCTTCAAAATCTTTCTTAATTTCCATACTAATTCTCACCCTTTTTACCACAGGGTTGGCACTAGAAGCTTTCTTGGGGCCCATGGTCACTTATTTTCAACAAACAGAACCGAAAACACTGTAATAATACGAAATATTCCGAGTGTATGCTTGAATGTTACCGCGGAGGCTAGCTGGTAAACAATGGGACAGGCGGCACATGTGAGGCTGGCTGAGGCCGCACATTGGACGCGTCTCGGACGAAGTTCGCTGAGCGGGTTTTTGTCTACTATGCGGGGCAAAATTTTAGCGATCAAAGCGTTCGCTATGCGGAATGTTCGCTATGCAAGGCGTTCGCTATGCGGGGGTCCACTGTATTTTGGTCTACCCTGAACCATTATTCATTGAGAGTGAAAAGGAGAAAGAAAGGTTGAGAGACAGCCAAGGTCACAAAACTAGTGCACAATTATTGGTCTTTTCAAGGGAAGTGCCTCAATGCTGGCGAAGAACTCCTGAGCAAAGTCACTGGAACTAACCTTTTTCCTGGATCAACCCTGATTACCTCCCATTTCCCAAGCACTATGACCCCTATGGTCATGAATATGATGATCGTAGTTATGTCGACTGGTGTGGGTCGCATCCTGGGGGACAAGATTAAGGACCCCAGTGGAAATAAGTTAGACAGTCCTCGATGATGCACTGACTTTCTTGGGTTATCCTGGGTGGCTAACCCTCCAGGGTTAAAAATCCGAAGAAAATCTTATCTTATGTTTATTGGAAAGTGCTTGACCAACAATGTACATACAGCAGCTGGGGAATGGAAGATAATCAGGTTTGATCCAAGGAAAAGGAGGGTAGCTCCAGCTCCTTGAAGATATAGAATCCACCAGCATCCTTTTAGGCAAATGGTTCACAAATAACCAGCTAAATAAGGCAGTTTTACCTCCCAAACTCATTCTGTAGTAGGAAGTCAGACCAAAGAATGGGCAGACATAAAAAAAAAAATAAAAAACAGTGCCTGTGCGCACCAGGTAGGCAGCTGACCGTTGTTGTAGGTCTAAAGTTTAGATAAGTTAATACAAATTGTGATTTATGGAAAACCAGTAAATCATGCGGAAAATGTAAATAGAGCAGAAATTAAACTAGTAATTATTATTATTATGTATGAGCAGCTTTAGCCCATATAGGTCACTCAGTTTAAATGGCAGAGGTCTGATTCTCTATTTGCTAATTGTTGCCCCATCTTTGGCTGCTGGCCCCTCAAGGAAGGTTCCTTGATGTTGGTGAGGGGCTCTTGATTTAGGGAATTGGATCTGTGCTCCAGTTCCCCGAATTAAGCCTGAATGCCTTCCACATCCCCCCCCCCAGGTGCTGTATAATCCGCCGGGTTTAGCGCTTCCCCTTTGATTATAATAATAATAATTTGGCTGCTGGGACTTGCCTACAATTTGCAGTTAAACTGATGGAAATATTACTGCAGCTGGAATGACTGGATGATTATAAGAGAAATATTACATGCATGTTTGAATATGTCTATAAGGGTCCTGTTCCTAGGTTGTGAGAGTAATGAAGTTGCAAGTGCTCAACTGAATATATCTTTAGTGTTTTTGTATATATTTATGCTGCTAAAAGAAGTCATAAGAAGGACCAAGAGCTGAATGCTTATGAATATTTGGTGTTTTTGCATAAGGGTTGTTGAATTGCAGTTTAAATATTGCCAGTGTTGTAAATATATATTTATTCCTATATATTAAGTCAATAAAACATAAATACACATTGCAGCCTCTGCTGTTACATGCTTGGCAATCTTAATAACCTTTAGAAAAAAAAAAAAGGGCTATGGGAAATTCAGTATGGTCAAAGGTTATACACTACTGGACAGAGGCTTCATTTTGGATGGTTGCTTGGTTTAAGATTGCAACAGCTCAGGAAGCCTTATGAATCTTGCACTGAAACTGGAGAAATTTAAAGATGAATCCATCAGATTTCACTAATCTGTTGAAAGTAAAATGCAGGTCTTAGGCATTGTCCCTGATTACTGTATTTCTGCCCATATAATTATAATGTTAGTTTACATTGCACTCCATCCAAGATGAGTTCTTAAGATAAGGTATGCATTAATGTAAATGCTACTGAGAAAAGGCAAATGGCAGTGTTAAGTTACTATGTAGTACTTTTCTTCATTTCTTTCAAACCAAAAATACCCTTTTACTGTTCAACAGAAGAGGAAGTGAGAAAACCTTTATACGTGCTGTCAGCTATTCAGGCCAAATCTTACAATGAATGAACATCATGGAACTATTTTCTCAGTAATGTAGCTGTAAGTGTGACTTAATATGAGATAAATATTATTTCCTCTGTTCTGTAAAGGGATGTCCCCCTTTACAATATACATGTACATATATTGATATACTTTTAATAACATGAGGGAAGGTGGCCAACAACTACATTCCTCCTGTACCAATGATATTACTCCCTCTTGCAATTAAGGCAGCAAAGTATGAAATGAATGTTGCTTTCAAGAGAAGTGGTTAGGACTGTCAGTGCATGTAGCAGCACACTGGACACAAACCTTTCTCTTCAAGGCAGTTACACAAAGAAACCTTATTTACTATCACCTGCTACCTAGTTGACTTTTTTTTTTTTAGAGAGATTAGGTTAGGTGTAAAAAAATCACCTTTAGTTTTTCTTTTTCTTAATTTCTATAATGCATCAGGCAACACAGTCCAATGTTGACCCTCCATACTGCAATATCCCTATCCGATTTTCAAAATGCATTCATTGTGATTCCCACCGTCCAAAACTCAAGTTTAGATGGCCAGTTACCCTTAATTCCTTCATAATTATTGATTCACTCATATGCAACAGCACACCAAATCTCATGAACCACTTGACACCATTAAATCTGATCATACATGATCACATATGCCTGTTGGATGTAAATCTAATTCTTTCTACCTTTTTCATGCACACTTCTCTGCCTTTCCCTTAAGGGAGATTCCTTCATGCTATTGTGGGGTTCTTGATTCAAGGAATTAGATGTTGTTCCTTCCCTTGGATCAAACCTGTTTGCCTCCCAGGCACTGTATGACTCCTATGGTATAGCACTTTCCCTATTTAACAATAATAATCCTCTCAGTAATTTCATGCACTGGTCAGGGAGGTATACCATCTTTTAGGAGTGAAGAAGAGCAGAATGTAAGTGTGGGGGAGGTACGTGAGGCATTACGTAAAATGAAAGGGGGTAAAGCAGCTGGAACTGATGGGATCATGACAGAAATGTTAAAAGCAGGGGGGGATATAGTGTTGGAGTGGTTGGTACTTTTGTTTAATAAATGTATGAAAGAGGGGAAGGTACCTAGGGATTGGCAGAGAGCATGTATAGTCCCTTTATATAAAGGGAAAGGGGACAAAAGAGACTGTAAAAATTATAGAGGAATAAGCTTACTGAGTATACCAGGAAAAGTGTACGGTAGGGTTATAATTGAAAGAATTAGAGGTAAGACAGAATGTAGGATTGCGGATGAGCAAGGAGGTTTTAGAGTGGGTAGGGGATGTGTAGATCAGGTGTTTACATTGAAGCATATATGTGAACAGTATTTAGATAAAGATAGGGAAGTTTTTATTGCATTTATGGATTTAGAAAAGGCATATGATAGAGTGGATAGAGGAGCAATGTGGCAGATGTTGCAAGTATATGGAATAGGTGGTAAGTTATTAAATGCTGTAAAGAGTTTTTATGAGGATAGTGAGGCTCAGGTTAGGGTGTGTAGAAGAGAGGGAGACTACTTCCCGGTAAAAGTAGGTCTTAGACAGGGATGTGTAATGTCACCATGGTTGTTTAATATATTTATAGATGGGGTTGTAAAGGAAGTAAATGCTAGGGTGTTTGGGAGAGGGGTGGGATTAAATTATGGGGAATCAAATTCAAAATGGGAATTGACACAGTTACTTTTTGCTGATGATACTGTGCTTATGGGAGATTCTAAAGAAAAATTGCAAAGGTTAGTGGATGAGTTTGGGAATGTGTGTAAAGGTAGAAAGTTGAAAGTGAACATAGAAAAGAGTAAGGTGATGAGGGTGTCAAATGATTTAGATAAAGAAAAATTGGATATCAAATTGGGGAGGAGGAGTATGGAAGAAGTGAATGTTTTCAGATACTTGGGAGTTGACGTGTCGGCGGATGGATTTATGAAGGATGAGGTTAATCATAGAATTGATGAGGGAAAAAAGGTGAGTGGTGCGTTGAGGTATATGTGGAGTCAAAAAACGTTATCTATGGAGGCAAAGAAGGGAATGTATGAAAGTATAGTAGTACCAACACTCTTATATGGGTGTGAAGCTTGGGTGGTAAATGCAGCAGCGAGGAGACGGTTGGAGGCAGCGGAGATGTCCTGTTTAAGGGCAATGTGTGGTGTAAATATTATGCAGAAAATTCGGAGTGTGGAAATTAGGAGAAGGTGTGGAGTTAATAAAAGTATTAGTCAGAGGGCAGAAGAGGGGTTGTTGAGGTGGTTTGGTCATTTAGAGAGAATGGATCACAGTAGAATGACATGGAAAGCATATAAATCTATAGGGGAAGGAAGGCGGGGTAGGGGTCGTCCTCGA